TGCGCGCAGAGCAGGTGAGTGGTGCGGCAGAGCAGGTGAGTGGTGCGGCAGAGCAGGTGAGTGGTGCGGCAGAGCAGGTGAGTGGTGCGGCAGAGCAGGTGAGTGGTGCGGCAGAGCAGGTGAGTGGTGCGGCAGAGCAGGTGAGTGGTGCGGCAGAGCAGGTGAGTGGTGCGGCAGAGCAGGTGAGTGGTGCGGCAGAGCAGGTGAGTGGTGCGGCAGAGCAGGTGAGTGGTGCGGCAGAGCAGGTGAGTGGTGCGGCAGAGCAGGTGAGTGGTGCGGCAGAGCAGGTGAGTGGTGCGGCAGAGCAGGTGAGTGGTGCGGCAGAGCAGGTGAGTGGTGCGGCAGAGCAGGTGGAGTGGTGCGGCAGAGCAGGTGAGTGGTGCGGCAGAGCAGGTGAGTGGTGCGGCAGAGCAGGTGAGTGGTGCGGCAGAGCAGGTGAGTGGTGCGGCAGAGCAGGTGAGTGGTGCGGCAGAGCAGGTGAGTGGTGCGGCAGAGCAGGTGAGTGGTGCGGCAGAGCAGGTGAGTGGTGCGGCAGAGCAGGTGAGTGGTGCGGCAGAGCAGGTGAGTGGTGCGGCAGAGCAGGTGAGTGGTGCGGCAGAGCAGGTGAGTGGTGCGGCAGAGCAGGTGAGTGGTGCGGCAGAGCAGGTGAGTGGTGCGGCAGAGCAGGTGAGTGGTGCGGCAGAGCAGGTGAGTGGTGCGGCAGAGCAGGTGAGTGGTGCGGCAGAGCAGGTGAGTGGTGCGGCAGAGCAGGTGAGTGGTGCGGCAGAGCAGGTGAGTGGTGCGGCAGAGCAGGTGAGTGGTGCGGCAGAGCAGGTGAGTGGTGCGGCAGAGCAGGTGAGTGGTGCGGCAGAGCAGGTGAGTGGTGCGGCAGAGCAGGTGAGTGGTGCGGCAGAGCAGGTGAGTGGTGCGGCAGAGCAGGTGAGTGGTGCGGCAGAGCAGGTGAGTGGTGCGGCAGAGCAGGTGAGTGGTGCGGCAGAGCAGGTGAGTGGTGCGGCAGAGCAGGTGAGTGGTGCGGCAGAGCAGGTGAGTGGTGCGGCAGAGCAGGTGAGTGGTGCGGCAGAGCAGGTGAGTGGTGCGGCAGAGCAGGTGAGTGGTGCGGCAGAGCAGGTGAGTGGTGCGGCAGAGCAGGTGAGTGGTGCGGCAGAGCAGGTGAGTGGTGCGGCAGAGCAGGTGAGTGGTGCGGCAGAGCAGGTGAGTGGTGCGGCAGAGCAGGTGAGTGGTGCGGCAGAGCAGGTGAGTGGTGCGGCAGAGCAGGTGAGTGGTGCGGCAGAGCAGGTGAGTGGTGCGGCAGAGCAGGTGAGTGGTGCGGCAGAGCAGGTGAGTGGTGCGGCAGAGCAGGTGAGTGGTGCGGCAGAGCAGGTGAGTGGTGCGGCAGAGCAGGTGAGTGGTGCGGCAGAGCAGGTGAGTGGTGCGGCAGAGCAGGTGAGTGGTGCGGCAGAGCAGGTGAGTGGTGCGGCAGAGCAGGTGAGTGGTGCGGCAGAGCAGGTGAGTGGTGCGGCAGAGCAGGTGAGTGGTGCGGCAGAGCAGGTGAGTGGTGCGGCAGAGCAGGTGAGTGGTGCGGCAGAGCAGGTGAGTGGTGCGGCAGAGCAGGTGCGTGGTGCGGCAGAGCAGGTGAGTGGTGCGGCAGAGCAGGTGAGTGGTGCGGCAGAGCAGGTGAGTGGTGCGGCAGAGCAGGTGAGTGGTGCGGCAGAGCAGGTGAGTGGTGCGGCAGAGCAGGTGAGTGGTGCGGCAGAGCAGGTGAGTGGTGCGGCAGAGCAGGTGAGTGGTGCGGCAGAGCAGGTGAGTGGTGCGGCAGAGCAGGTGAGTGGTGCGGCAGAGCAGGTGAGTGGTGCGGCAGAGCAGGTGAGTGGTGCGGCAGAGCAGGTGAGTGGTGCGGCAGAGCAGGTGAGTGGTGTGCGGCAGAGCAGGTGAGTGGTGCGGCAGCGCAGGGAGGTGGTGCGGCAGAGCAGAGTGGAGTGGTGCGGCAGAGCAGGTGAGTGGTGCGGCAGAGCAGGTGAGTGGTGTGCGGCCAGCAGCAGGTGAGTGGTTGCGGCAGAGCAGGTGAGTGGTGCGGCAAGAGCAGGTGATTGGTGGCGGCAGAGGCAGGTGAGTGGTGCGGCAGAGCCAGGTGAGTGGTGCGGCAGAGCAGGGGAGTGGTGGCCGAGCAGACGTGAGTGTGCGGCAGAGCTAGGTGAGTGGGGGGGGGTGCTGCAGAGCAGGTGAGTGGTTCGGCAGCAGAGCAGGTGAGTGGGGCGGCACAGAGCAGGTGAGTGGTGCGGCAGAGCAGGGTGAGTGGTGCCGGAGACAGAGCAGGTGGAGTGGTGCGGCAGAGCAGGTGAGTGGTTGCGTCCCAGAGCAGGTGAGTGGTGCGGCAGGAGCAGAAGCAGGTGAGTGGTGCGGCAGAGCAGGTGAGTGGTGCGGCAGAGCAGGTGAGTTGTGCGCAGAGCAGGTGAGTGGTGCGGCAGAGCTAGGTGAGTGGTGCGGCCAGAGCAGGTGAGTGGTGCGGCAGAGCAGGTGAGTGGTGCGGCAGAGCAGGTGAGTGGTGCGGCAGAGCAGGTGAGTGGTGGGCAGGCAGAGCAGGTGAGTGGTGCGGCAGAGCAGGTGAGTGGTGCAGCAGAGCAGGTGAGTGGTGCAGAAGAGCCACTGACCGACCTACTGAAAAAGGATACGCCCTACAAATGGGATACTCCTCATCAGCAAGCCAAAGAGCAGCTACAGACAGCACTGACTACAGCGCCAGTACTCATCCTACCAGATCCAGACAAGGACTACGTGGTGGAAGCAGACGCTAGTGGCCAAGCAGTCGGAGCAGTACTGATGCAGGATCATGGACGCGGTTTGCAGCCCATCGCCTACCTCAGTAAGAAGCTACACGGAGCAGAACTGAACTACCCCATCCATGACAAGGAAGCCTTAGCGATTGTCATAGCCTTCAAGGCGTGGAGGTGTTACCTAGAGGGAGCCAAGATTACAGTCTATACTGACCACTGCAGTCTCAAATACCTGAAGTCGCAGCCAACGCTCTCACGACGACAGGTGCGGTGGATGGACTTCCTAGAAACTCACTTCCACTACGACATCGTCTTCAAGCCCGCGCTACAGAACAAAGCAGACGCGTTGAGCCGCCCTGGACATGTAGCAGGCATCCAGCTCGACGGGATGAACCCTTTGCTCAAGGGACTATTCCAACATGGGTACTCCGTGGACGCAGAGATCGCTATAGCACAGACAAAGAAGCTGTTACAGTGGGAGAAAGACTAGCTGTAAGGAAGGGTTCAGAAGAGATTTGGGTACCGAATTACGCCCCGCTACGGCAGGTCCTCTTGGAGAAGTTTCACGACGTACCTTACGCGGGACATTTCGGGAGCAACAAGATGTTAGCAGGGATAGCGAAGTATTACTACTGGCCCGGGATGGCAGCAGGCGTGCAGCAGTTCGTCACCTCATGCGACACGTGCCAACGGATGAAGAGCAGCAAGCAGAAAAAAGCAGGGTTACTTCAACCTCTACCTGAACCGGAGCAGCCATGGCAGGTCGTTAGCCTCGACTTCATCACGGGACTTCCCTCGACCTCACGGGGACATGATTCCATCCTCGTAGTCATCGATAAGTTCTCCAAAATAGGTCACTTCATCCCGACCAACGCCACAGCTACAGCTGAAGCAACTGCTCGCCTCTTCTTTGACCGCATCATCACCATTCACGGCATCCCCGCTACACTCATCTCAAACAGAGACCCCAAATTCACGAGTAAGTTCTGAAAGGAGCTCATGGGACTGTTGGGGACAAAACTTGCAATGTCTTCAGCATACCACCCCCAGACTGACGAACAGACCGAGCGACTCAATCAAGTGGTTGAACAGTTACTGCGCACAGCTTGCAAAGACGACGTCAGCCACTAGGACACACAGTTACCGACCCTAGAGTTCGCTTACAACAACGTGTCACATGCGGCCACAGGGAAAACTCCTTTCTTCCTGTGTTACGGGCGGGAACCACTTACACCACAGCAGCCAACCACACCGGCACACGTCCAAGCTGCACATGACTTCGTCACCACCATGCAGCAGCTATGGGAGAAGACCCAGCGACGACTCACCACGATGCAGACCTCCCTGAAGCAGTATGCCGATCGTCAGCTACGAGATCACTTAGTAGCAGTCGGAGATCAGGTGCTTCTTGATACGCGCAACTTGAACCTGTCTCACCTCCCATCCAAACTCCGGCCTCGCTTCTGTGGTCCTTTTCTCGTTGAGGCACAGGTGACACCAGTTACATTCCGCTTGCGCTTACCAGATACATGGAAGCTTCACAACGCTTTCCATGTTCAGCTACTGAAACCCTATAAGGACCCGAACCAACAGTTCGAGGGACGGCAGCTACCGCCACCACCACCTATACTCATACAGGATGAACCAGAATACGAGATTGAGCGCGTTCTCTTTCATCGGCGCCGCGGCGGCAAGGGCCTCGAGTTCCTGATACGCTGGAAGGGATACGACCCCACTGAGGACAGTTGGGTTGCAGAAGCTGATATGGGCAACACACGCCGTGCTCTCAAGGACTATCTTGTCAAGCAGGGTGTTTCTCACGCCACCCAGCTTTGAGGGGGGGACGTGTGAGAGTACAATGGCTTATGCTGGCTTTGCTAGCTTGCCTAGACTTTATTACGCTATATCTAGCTTGGGTTTTATTTATCATGCATAGATATGCTTGATTTCCTAGGTTAGGTGCATTCCTATGTTTTATCTTAGTTATAGCACCGAACCAAGTTGCGTGTACCGAACTCAAGCCTATTCGGTTTCCACCGAATCGCTTTCTACTGAGTTCGGGAAGGTTCTGTTCGGGAGGCTTCGCGACCCTCAGAACATTCGCGTAACACCTGGGTAACTGGCCTTGTGTCGAGACTATATATAGCCTTGTGTTGTACCCAGTTGAATCATTCAAGTACAATTCTCTTTTCTGAGCTCGATCCTAGATCCTCACACCATCGGTTCCAGTGCCTAAACCTCACAAGCACCCTAAGGTGTAAAGAAATGAGGGGGGAGGGGGTTTACCGGGGGAGGACCTGGCGCAAGGAAGAGCGGCGGCGGGGGGAGGGGCGCAGTGCGGTAGGGGAAGAGACGGTAGTAAGGCACCGACTCGTCAAAGGTGACGTCCTGGGAGGACAGAACACGGCGCGAGGTGGGGTGGTAAAACTGCCACCCAGGCGCGTCAGGGGGGAAGCCAAGGAAGACGCAGGGAACAGCACGGGGGGACAGCTTGTCCGCAGACAAGTCGCGGACAAACGCCTGAGATCCCCAGACCCGAAACGCAGACGCATCGCCAACCTTCCCCGTCCACCGCAAGGTGGGGGAGGTCTCTGGCAAGGAGACCCGGGGCTGAAGGTTGAGCTGATGCGCTGCGTACTGAACCGTAAATGGCCATAGAAAATGGGGGGCAGCCGCATGGATCATGGACGTACGAGCGACGTCCATGACCATGCCAATGCGGCGCTCAGCAATCCCATTTTGCTGTCGAGAGGCCGGAAGCGTGAAGGTCTGGCGGATGCCCTATGCTTGACAGAAGGCTCCCAGGCGGGCACAGGAAAACTCCCCGCCTCTGTCAGAGTGCAGACGCAGAAGAGGAAAGTCCGAGCCGAAACTCTCTCTGAGTTGGAGACGAGCTGCGCGGATCTAGTCGATCAACACCTCAGTGACGTCACCCCTGCTGCGCAAGGGGAAGACTGTGGTGTAACGCGAGTTGTGGTCAACCACCAACAGGAAGTAACGCTCGTGCCCCTGGCCACGGACGCGGGCGGGGCCCCACACGTCCATGTGAAGAGTCTGCAGCGGAGCCTCTGTCCGAGGAAACTCGGAGGAGTGAGGGGCGGCGCGCTGTCGCCCCTCGACGCAGGGGACGCAGGTAGGGGCAGGCCCCGGAGGTAGGGGAGGGAGAGACCGGGGGAGACCAGAGACAAGGACACGGGAGGCCATGCCTCGGAGACGAGGCAGGGAGGGGTGACCAAGGCGGTGGTGCCAAAGGAGAGTCTGGTGGGACAGGAGACGACACGAGCAGGGAGCAGACTCAGGACCAGACCTAGACGCTGCAGCAAACACCTGACTCGACGCAGCTACCTAACCAGACTCAGCAGCCGGAGGAGACTCAGTAGTAAGTGTGTATAGGCTCGACCTCGGCCGACGGGTGAACGTGGCCAAGTGTCGGCCTGTCTGAGCACACGTGCAGTGGGTCACCCGCTGACTCGCAGGAGTGAACTGGTCAACCCCCCTATCCTGTAGATCAGCACCACTCACCAAGTTCGTAGAGAACGAGGGGAGGTAGAGACCTGACAGGGTGCCAGAGGGGGCTGCCGGGCACGGTAAGACAGTGGAGAAGCTAGCAAGGATAGGATCCCCAGAGGGGTCCGCCAGGGAGACTGCAACCGGCCGACTAAGCGGCGTAAGCGTGGTGCGGTCTCGAAAGAAGGAGCGGGAAGCACCCGAGTCAAGGGTGAAGGTGTGTAAGGCCTGAGCCGACGTAGTACCTGAGAGAGCAGACTCACCAGCACCTGGGGCAGCAGACGCACTAGCACCTAGAGCAGCAGCCTCACCAACACCTAGAGCAGCAGCCTCAATGCTCGGGTCAGGCGGAACACACAGGTAACAGTCACCCTCAACACTATTAGACACAGCTGACATGGCAGCAAGAATAGCATCATAATCAAGATCAAAGATAGCAACCCCCGCCCTAGACAGCTCTCCCCAGCAAGGGATCTCAGAGGCGTCAGGGAACTGGTGACGCCACGCGTACGTCAGGCGGCCGAAGCAGCGCTGGGTGGAGTGCGGGCCCCCGCACTGCTCACCAGCGCGGTCGCCGATACGGAGGACGTAGGTGCAGGGACCAGTACCCCCACCGCGCTGACGCGCAGCGTACCACTCACGAAGCTGCTGAGGGGACAGGGTCTCACGACTGCGCTGCTGCTGCTGGCGCGGACCGCCACCGGACCCACTCCTCTGCGCAGAGCCGCGACCAGCTCCACCGCTGCCGCCGCCTCCTCCGCCACCTCCGTCGCCTCCGCCACCTCCGCCGCCTCCGCCACCTCCGCCGCCTCCGCTCCCTCCGCCACCGCCGCCGCCTCCTCCGCCTCCACTGCTGCCACCGACACCTCCACCCCCGCCACCACTCCCACCACCACCCCCACCCCCTCCACTGCCTTAACCACCACCTACATCGCCCCCGCCAGGCTCTTTAGCGCCCTTGCCCCCCTTGCCCTTGCCGGTGCAGCGTCTCCCGCTAGGGGTAGACGCAGCGCCGACCGACTCGAAACCAACGAGGTCGGCCGCAGCAGCAGAAGCAACAGAGGGCAAGAGGGGGGAAGGGGAACACCCCTCAAAGACGGGGGTGCGAGGGTCACCACGAGAGGCTCCTACAGCGACTATGCTCTTCTCTGCTTCTAGGAGGCGCTCCTCGAGGAGGTCAACGGTGAGTGTGGTGGGGCAAACTGAGAGGAAGTGGTCCCTGACTAAGCGAAGGGAGTCAGGGAGCCGGGTGACTATGTAGTAGAGGGTGATGTACATAGGGGGGGGGTTCTTGGCGCAGAACTCAGCAGGAAGCGCAGCGCGGTAGCGGGTGTCACTAGTGCGAAGGTGCGTAACGAGGTCAGCGACAGTGGGAAAGGTGGCGAGGTCAGGAAACAGGTACGGCAGCATGAGGTGGCTAAGGGCAGCAGTGGCAGGGGAAGAGTAGCGCGCAACTACAGCATCGTAGAAGGTCTTAGCACTCTTGTACTGACTAAAGTGCGCACGCTAAGCGGTCGGTAAGTGGCGACGCACAGCAAGACGGGCAGCAGCCTCGCGCGTGGCCCACTGTGAGCGAAAAGTGCTGTCAGCATGAGCCGGTGGGGCAAGAGAGGCACCAGAGGTGAGATCAAACAGGGAGAGTCCGTCTGCCCTATCGCACTGTAGGAAAAGCTGCAGGTCATCGACCCAGACCTCGAAGTCAACAGCACGACGCTCAGTATCAAAGGTAAGGACACTCGGGGTAGCCATGAGAGCAGTGGTCTAGCAGGGAGGGCTCTCACCAGACCGGGTGGGTAGAGCCGGGGCGCGCCGGGAGGAGCAGGGCTGCAACAACGGTGGCAGCGGCTCGGCAGTGACAGTGGCGGCTCGACGGCAGCTGCTCGGCGGCTCGGCTGTCGGGCGGCTCGGCGGCTCGGTTGCTGGGCGGCTCGGCGGCTTGGCGGCTCGGCTGCTGGGCGGCTCGGCGGCTCGGCGGCTCGGCTGCTCGGCGGCTCGGCGGCTCGGCTGTTGGGCGGCTCAGCTGCTAGGTGGCTCGGTAGAGACGGCGACGGGGCCGGTAGAGGCGGCGACGGGGCCGGCAGAGGCGGCGATGGGGCCGCTAGGGGCAGCGACGGGGCCGCGTAGGGAGGGGAGCAGCAACGGGGCCGCCAGGGGCGACTACGGGGCCGCGTAGGGGCGGCGACGGGGCCGCGTAGGGGCGGCGACGAGGCCGCGTAGTGGCGGCGACGGGGCCGCGTAGGGAGGGGAGCGGCGACGGGGCCGCTAGGGGCAGCGACGGGGCCGCGTAGGGGCGGCGAAGGGGCCGCGTAGGGGCGGCGACGAGGCCGCGTAGTGGCGGCGACGGGGCCGCGTAGGAAGGGGAGCGGCGACGGGGCCGCTAGGGGCGGCGACGGGGCCGCGTAGGGGCGGCGACGGGGCCGCGTAGGTAGAGAGGCGGCGACGGGGCCGCTAGGGGTGGCGACGGGGCCGCGTAGGGGCGGCGACGGGTCCGCTAGGGGCGGCGACGGGGCCGCGTAGGGGCGGCGACGGGGCCGCGTAGGGGCGGCGACGGGACCGCGTAGGGAGAGAGGCGGCGACGAGGCCGCTAGGGGCGGCGACGGGGCCGCTAGGGGCGGCGACGGGGCCGCGTAGGGGCGGCGACGAGGTCGCTAGGGGCCGCGAGGGGCCTGGAAGGGCGGCGAACAAGGCGCGCCTCGGGCAGGAGCGACTGACGCTCCGGTCAGAAAAAAAGTTTCAGTGGTGGGCCCAAGGAAGCGTTCCCACTAGGGAACCTGCTCTATACCATGTAAAGAAATGAGGAATGAATGAACTAGCAAGCATTGAACTGCTCCAGCTGGCCGCATTGATCTGCAATGTCATCGGCTTTCGTGTGTTTTCGAGGTGTCGCCTTCAAGCCCAGCGCGTCACCCACGGTACCCAAGTGATGACGCGCCCCTGCGTCCAGTTCGTCTGACGTCACGCCTTTGCTGATGGGGAGAAACTCGATCTTGGTCGTCAGGATCTGGATGTCATCCTCGATAACTGATATCTTCTCCTTCTGGGCGAGCAACTCTTGCCGCATGTCTACCGGTCGGTCAATGCATATATAACCATCGTCGTCTATAAGAGGAACAGGCTGCAAATGGATGCGCAGACCTTGGTGCTGAAGTTTGGGGATCAGCGTCCCTTCGGCATGAGAACACAGACCGGCACGCAGGCGGTATTTCGCCGCGCTCACAATCCTGAACGATATGTATTCGTGCACGATCACAAATCCAGATGTCACCAGTGGCTCGAGATATTGACAAGTGTACACACTATAGCCCCAGCTACTAGGTTGTTGTGGTACCTGGTGACCTTGCGCAACCGAGGGGCAACAAGGTGGTACACATTAGGACAAGCAATCATAAAGATCAGACGTTGTATTGTGTGCAGTGATTCGTTTTATAATAAACAATGTTATGTCAGAATCCCAACCACTGGACCATTGGGATAAAAGGGCTTGTTAAGTAGCGGGTCAGTGCGCCCATAACCCCCCAGGACAACGAGCCTGTAACCCTTCCCTAGGATCAATCGGGGATCACCAGTGGACCTCTGACACGTTACATGCATGGTTGTGGTCTTCGCGTTGATGAGTGCCTGTCCTGACGTCTTTGGGTCCACCTGCGGATGACCGCGAAGGCACATTAGGTGAAGTAACATGCAAGATAGATGGCCATACTGCCATATGCGGCCACAACAGTCGTATGACCCGGCGATCCAACTTTGTTTTATACAAACAATCTCACGATTTAGTGTCGTCAAATGCCTGGGTCGTCTTGGAGTGGCACCCGTCACTGTCGAATAGAATGAGCTCCACAGGTGCCGAGGTTGGGGCTACAATCCCGCCCGGGTTCGTCACCACCATCAACAAATAGTGTACACTGCACGCTCGACGATTCATGGTTAGACGGTAGATATGACCAGGCGAAAATATAACAGTGATGTATTGACGCACATACCTGGCAAAGACCGGAACGGCCATGCAATCGTACTCGAATACGGTAGGGCCACTGCATCCTCCGATTGGCTTCTTGTGTAACTTAGCATACGCATATGCCTTGCTATCGAAAACCACCCATGATTTGCCGTTCAGGCATCTCGTGTATCGTATGTTAAGGAGGCTGGGGGGAGGCGGGGGGTCATAATACGATGAATACGTCCGTGGTGGATAACATGGCGGATTGGCGCATGCCGGCGGGCACTGGACGGTAAGATGCACACTTACATGTTATCAAAATCCATCACCGCATCCCCGAGATAAGACTTGTCGGTGATCGATACGGCGTCGTGCGCAGTCACCTGATAGCCGACGCCCATGTGATTATATGGTGACACGGTCTTGAAAGTCGATGACTCCGGATTGCTCAACATTAATGTGAGAGCGTCGTCCGACGCAGGCTCCTCCTCGTCGCTTACCAGCCGCGATCCACATGCGGAAACGGCTCTCGTAACAGCCTTCCCTTCGGTGGGCGTTTCGTGCGTGAGTTCATGCGAGCGCTGCCTTTTGTTGCCTAGTGCTTCAAGAATGGTGGTGTTATCCCGCCGCGATTCAAGAGGAGACCTACGCGATGCCGCGGCTTCGGGCTTACGGAAGCCACGCATCGTGGCTTGTGCTTTGGTTCAGGGCGGCATTGCTCTTAAGAGGTCGTGAGAGAGGCGGAAACCCTAAGATAACAAAAGAGAACCATGCAAGTGTTGGCCCAACGGATCCTGTTATAGGCAGATGTTGGCATTGTTGTTGGTTTCACGGATTTCCGTAGGCATTTTACGCCCGAAAAAATCCAGAATGTGGATACCACCTTGGCGGAGCGTAATTGGCAGCCGGGCTTTGTGAGAGAACGAGGATGAATGAACTAGCAAGCAGGTGGGTACAAGTAGGAAAACCTAAAAGTGTTGTACCCCATATTGTCTACCCCACTACAGCCTACACAGACTATAGCATATGAGTTTGACACACCCCCATAGGCAAAGTGGGGGAGAAAAAGAGGTCACAAGACCAGTCAAGCAAAGCAAAGCAAGCTCAGAGTGGATCACAACGTCACCACACATTCCGAGCACAAGTTCAAGGCCAGAAGGCCAGTTCACATGCAAGATTATATATAAAGGTAGACAAGCAAGTGCAGGAATAGACAGATCCCAATACAAGCAAGGTCAAGAAGTGAGCAAGTGTGGCCAAGTAGGCACAAGACCTAGCATCGTACAGAATCGCTGATGATCACAAGGCGGAAGTGCCTTGGTAAAGATATCAGCAGTGTTGGCCTCAGAGGCCACGTAAGCAAGGCGCAGCTGACCACGCTGCTGCAGCTCACGAGCAAGGAAGTAGCGCAGAGCAATGTGCTTCGTTCTGTGCTCCAGTCTGTGCTCCCGACACAAGGCCAGCATGGCCTTGTTGTCTACGTACAGAACTGGAGGAGAACGAGGCGGCACTCCTAGGTCAGTCAGCAGGTAGGTGAACCAGCGTAGCACCTATGCAGCCATGGCCCCCGCGTAGATCTCAGCCTCACAGCTAGAGCCGAGAACAGAAGACGAACGGGTAGACCGCCACGAAACAGAGCCGGAACCAAGGCTGAAAGTGTAACCCTGTGACGACCGCTGCGTAGCCTGGTCGTCAGCCCAAGAAGCGTCTGCTTGACCTGTGAGGACCACTGGACGTCGCCCTCCAAGCACTAGCCCCATGCCCGACGTACTGCACAAGTAGCGCAACACCCTCTTCGCTGCAGCCATGTGCTCCGGTCGGTGTCTCCCAGGAGCAACATAGCGTGCCAAGATGCTAAGAGGGTATGCAAGGTCAGGTCGAGTGTAGGTCATCAGGTACATGAGGCAGCCAACAAGCTCTGGGTACGGGCCACTCGGCTCTACGGACTCATCCGAAGGCAGAGCTAAGAGCGAGTGGCGAGTAGACAGAGGAGTGGCCTGAGGCGAGGAGTACGTGAAGTCGAAGAGCTGAAGGACCTGCTTGTTAGAATATTATGTTTCTCTAGTCTGCAGTGGGGTACTCTATAGTGAGTACAACCCTTTTTAGGGTTTACTATATGTATCCCAATGTTTGCTAGTGAACCCCCTCTCTCTTCTTCATTCCTCGTTTCTTCACACTGCTGCACCATGTGTGACTAAGTCAGGGTAATGGTGCGCTGTGCTCTGTCCCGGGTGATCTGCAAGCCAAGGTAGCTGCGCAGTTCACCCAGGTCTGTGCACGTGTGTCTCTTCTGCAGCTCGGACTTCACGTGGGCGAGTCCAGCAGTGTCAGCAGTGGCAAAGACCAAGTCGTCGACGTACACGAGGATGTAGAACGGCGGCAAAGAGGTGTCGGTGCGCAGAAACAGCGACGGGTCGGCAGTAGAAGGAGCTGTGAAAGAAAGAACGAGAATGAATTGACTATGAACGAAGTGAGTACAAATAGGAAACCCTAATTGGGTTGTACCCCCTATGGGATACCCCACTATAGCATACACAAATAAGTAAGCTATAATGTTCTGACACACCCCCATAGGCAAAGTGGGGAAGAACAAGGGGTCACAAGACCAGTCAAGCAAAGCAAAGCAAAGCTCAGGGTGGATCACAAAGTCACCACACATTCCGAGCACAAGTTCAAAGGCCACAAGGCCAGTTCACATGCAAGATCATATATAGAGATATACAAGAGTCAAGCAAGCAAGAACAAGAGTATATATAGGTGAAGGTACAAGCAAGGTCAAGAAGTGAGCAAGTGAGGCAAGACAGGCACAAGA